GGGGGGGATCCACCGGTTCGCTGCCATTGAGCCTGAAAAAAAAAATTTAAAAAACCCTCGGGGTTGAGCCGGGGGATGCGGGAGCGATGCGGGTCGGCTGCGGGCTCTCCGGACGCCGTTTGGTAGCGCGGGGGCGGCGGGGCCGCTCCGGCCGTGCGGGGTGTCGCGGTGCGGGGCCGGCGCGGCCTCCGTGGGGCTGCGGGTGCGGGGAACCCGGCCTCAAACCCATCCCTGCCGGCGGGGCCGGTGTCCCCCCCAGCCCTCCCCGGGCCGAGCCGCCGCCGTTCGCTGCGGGAGGAACCGCGGCGCGGTCTCGGGGTGTCTTTCCCTTCCCGCTCCGGTTGCGGGAGCAGCCTCTCCGCCCTGCGCGGGGGCCGGGAGCCGGCGGGGGTCTCCCGGGGGAGGCCGGGACTCAGATTGGGGGGTTACGGGGAGAAAAGGAGCCGGGAAGGGGTCACCGAAAGCCCCGCGGTGCTCCCGAGCTGCGGCTCCGGGATGCGGCCGGGAACCGGCGCTGCCGGTAAGTCCCGCTGGGCCGGAGCTCCGCGGGCGCGGAGGGGACGCGTGTGCCCCGCCGGCTGCGGGGAGACCCGCCGGAGCAGAGAGGATTTAATTTAATTTAATTTTTCCTCTCGTAATGTCTAACCAACCCCATTTTGGGCTGATTCCCATCCCTCCGCTCCGGCGCCCGGAACGGGCAGGAGGCGCAGGCCCCGCACCCCCCGTCCGACGGGGGGGTCACCTCTGCCGCCCCCGCTCCCCGCCCGCTCATTGTGCTGGGGTTTCTTGCATTTTGCGTGATGCTGCGGAGGGATCGGGCCCGGCCCCGCAGGCCGGAGCTCTGCGCGGTGCCTCCGCACCCCTGGGCCGCGGGGATGGGGTTGGGGGGGGGTGGGATGAGGGGTGCGTTATCCCTTCCCCTCCCCGCAGCGCCGGTGCGGGCAGGGTGCAGCGTGTGTGTGCGTGAGTGTGCACCCCCCCTTTTGCTTTTTCTTTCTTTTTTTCTTTTTTTTTTTTTTAATTTTTTTCCTTCAGGTAACGAAGGACGATTACAACAAAGCAGTTTGGGGGCATTGCTTAAACTGTCTTGCTGAATCTGAACTAGCTATCAAGTTACTCCTCCCACACAGAGCAGAACAGCTTGGTCCTGCTGTTTAGGGGTCCTTGCCAGCTGCGGAGACAGGAAAGGATTTTTTCCTCTTTACTTTTACTTGTTCTATTTTCTCCTGATCTTTAACTGTGCCAGCTTGGTGAAAATGTAATTCAAGAGAACACCCAAACAAAAGGAACAAAGGTTAAAAAAAAAAGAAAACAAGAAAAAAATCGATATGTATTAGCAAGGCATACAGATATGCAGAGATCTTGTTAATATGAATATTCAAGATCAACGTGTTCTGAAATCCTTAATCTGTTTCAATATTTTTTCTAATTCCTGTTTTCATTCAAGCAAGTATATCCTGAAACTGAAGAGCAGCACGCAGAAGAGCTGCAATTGCAAAGATGTCACAGTTCTTGTATGGAGTAACTCACATTGTTGAGAAGTCAGTAAGAAACTGCCCAAGGAAAACATAGGGAATGTGCTGTGCTGAGATTAAAATATTTTATAAAATAAAGGAAGAGGTGGACGGGACGGAGAGCGCAAAGAGGCAAGAAGAGCAGAGATGCAAAGGGCAAAGGGTGGGGGCAGCTGCTGTCAGGCACCCCCCCCCCCCCCCCCCCCCCCCCGCCCCCCCCCCCCGCGGCGCGGAGCCCCCTCCCGCCGGTGCCCAGCCCGGTCCCGGCCCCACGGACTCGGCGACGGGCTCGGTGCCCCCCCCGGCGCCGGCCGGAGCTTCCCCCCGCTCCGCCACCGCGCAAGCCGATCCGGCGGCGGCCGCCCCCGCGGAAGGCGGCAGCTTCCCCCGGCCCAAATCTCCGGTGCGGGCGAGGGAGGCCAGCACGGCCAGGGACAGATCGGACTGCGGCCCCCCCGACGGCGAGGAGGTGGACATGGACTGAGCGGGCGGGGGGGAAGAGAAAAAAAAACCAACCCGACCGACAGCAACGAAAAGATTTAAAAAAATGAACAGAAAGCAAAAACAAACCCACCCGCGAA